CCTACTAATTTTGTAAGGTGAAGGGCTAAAAATTGGTTTTAGCCTTATTGGTGGGGACAGATAAACTCAAGTTTTTTTTTTTTTTTTGAGTTATTTATCCTTTGGATTCAGTCGGATCTTAAGGATTCGATGGATGTTGTTTATGGATTAGGTTTACTCGAACGAATCAAGCCTGACCCGGTTGTTTTTATATAGGTTTAAGCACCATTTTGGTCCCTCAACTTTTCACTTTGGTACCAAAATTGTTCCTCAGCTTTAAGAAGTATCAAAATTATCCTTAAACTTTCATTTTCAGTACCAAAATGGTCCTTCCATCAATTAAATGACAGGTAGCACGTTAAAATGCCAGCAAATCAGTTCTTTTTTTTTTCTTAACTAATGACATGAAAAAAAAAAAACATAGTTGGCAATTTTTTTTAAGAGTTGGCATTTTTATTTAATTTAAAAATAATAATGCTTTTTTTTTTTTTCACCCACGTCGGATTTCATCTTCCTCCTTCATTTTCTCTCTCCTTTACCTTTCCTTTTCTCTTACCTCTGCAAACCCAAGCCTTGGGTTTTCTCAAACAACCAAGAAGCAAATGATGATCGTCGTCGTCGACAACAACGAGCACAACGTCGACGCGCTTGATACCTCTGCAAATCTAGGCCAAACCTTCTACTACTACTGCCGTCGGCCTTTTTCTTCTCCTCTCAAACCCAGATCTGGGTTTTTCTCAAACCCAGATTCACCCGTGAGCTGCTTGGTGGGAAGGGCGGGGTTTGGTTGGTCCTTCAACTGTTGAAGTTCGGCTTCATGTTCTTTAGCGTCGAGTGCCCAAGCGCTAGGCTTGCCCCATGGAGATGAGACGGTTACCGCCATTGTCAATTCGCTCTAAGCTTTCACCTTGTGTTCGATTCTGTCTGCTCCGAGTTTGCATTTGTTTAAAGCAGAAACAGATTGAGAGAGAACCCAAAATGGCCCCTCTGCAAACCCAGATTTCTTCTATATTTATCTCCCTCTCTGATTTAT